ATGCATTACAAATCTAAATCTTAAATATTGTTTATAATGGTAGATAGTAAACAGTGCAAAGAAATCACAAAGTAAATTTTAGTGTTTTTTTTCCCCCCCTCTTTAGGCTTACAACAGAGAAACCAAACAATTAAAAAGACCACATTCTTAGGGTAGACCAAGCCTAATTTTTCTTCTAAGTATAAAACACTCCCTTCATTGTTTAACACCTCATTGCAACTGACATCTCCCCTACAGTTTGAGTCAGCTGGAGGCTTTGCTATGTAATTAATGCATAATTGAAACCTCCTCCACACAATTACAGAACTGGCTGTACCCCATAGCTCATTTTGGCATAGATTCTATTTGGTTTCATGTAAAATTAAGGATTCTTCCTTTTTTTTTTTTTTTTTTTTGGCCCTTCAATAAAAAAATCACACAAAAACAAAACCCTTAACCTTTAACATCTGTAAATAACAAAATTAAGGTTGTGTTATGAAAGTATTAAAAAATATATTTTACATTTATAAATGTGATCCTGAGAGAAGTTTTAGTAGGACTGTAAGTTTATTTAAAATAAAATGATTGGATGACACTCGTGATTCTGGCCATTATGGTAGCCTCACAGGACCAAGGTTCCAAAGGGGAGAAATTGCACATAGAGAGTGCCTCACAGATATGCGGAGGATTCTCTTTGCAGTAGTCAAATACTGTGGAGTACATTCATGTGAGAAAACTGCTTGATGCCTGGGGAAGAAGCAAGCAGAACAAATACTGGAGTTTATACCGGACCATGAATAATTCATGTTCCAAACAACCACAGGTAATGCAAAAAGATTCAACCACTTTGGAAAACAATATAGAAGTTTTTTCTTTAAAAAAAAAAAAAAATTTTTTAACATTTATTTATTTTTGAGAGACAGAGAGAGATAGAGCACAAGCAGGATAGGAGCAGAGTTAGAAGGAGACACAGAATCCAAAGCAGGCTCCAGGCCCCGAGCTGCCAGCACAGAGCCCGATGTGGGGCTCGTACTCACGGACCGCGAGATCATGACCTGAGCCGAAGTCAGCCACTCAACCAACTGAGCCACCCAGACGCCCCTACAATATAGAAGTTTTTAATTTTTTTCTCTTTACATTGAAGATATTATTGCACTATCTTCTAGCTTCCTTTGTTGATGATAGGTCAGCTGTTAGTGTGATAATCCTATGAAGGAAGTCTGCTTTACCTGGTTATTTTAAAGACCATTTTAAATTTATCTGCTCTGCCTAGATGTAGATTTCTTATATATCCCATTTTGGGATTCATTAAAATTGAATGTATGGATTTGTGTTTTTCATCAATTCTGAGTCTTGGCCCTTATTGCTTTAGGTAATACCTCTGTGTTGCCTCCCCCCAACCCCCCTTTTCCCTTCTCTTTTTTGGGACTTTTTCAATTTCAGTGGTTCTGTTTAGTTCTTTTTCAAATCTTTGGTCTCTTTCAAAATAAATTTTTCTCCTGTACATATTTGCAAGCTTGTTTTGTAAGCTTTGATCTTTGATATTTGCATTTGAAGTCCTTAGTTACCTTTTCTTTTGACTATTTTGACTGTTGTTTCATTCATGATACCTCTCATTTCCCTGCATGTTTAGTTTTTTAGTACATTTAATATTTTTGATTGTCTTCATTTACTCATTTACGGTTCATTTTCCTTGGAGTTTTTTTCTGTGGAAATTCTTTGAGTTCCAAATTGAAGGTGGGTGGATGGCAGGGGTGGAGGGGACTCCAGGAAAGGTTTACATTTGTGTTTGCAAAGTACCTAAGAGCGTTGCCAATATTACATCACTTTAAATGAAATTTTCATTTTGAGGGTTTTTAACATCCAGACATTGTTGCTTTTTCTTGTCTTTTCTCTACTTTTCAAATTTCACCTTCTTTTATTTAGGAAAAAGGAAAACTGTATTTTTAACCTGCTGGGAAATATTCATAAACTTGCTCTGTTTTAAAAATAACAGGGGCGCCTGGGTGGCGCAGTCGGTTGAGCGTCCGACTTCAGCCAGGTCACGATCTCACGGTCCGTGAGTTCGAGCCCCGCATCGGGCTCTGGGCTGATGGCTCAGAGCCTGGAGCCTGTTTCTGATTCTGTGTCTCCCTCTCTCTCTGCCCCTCCCCCGTTCATGCTCTGTCTCTCTCTGTCCCAAAAATAAATAAACGTTGAAAAAAAAAATTTAAAAATAACATACAGTTTTGAACTTAACTTGGCTATATCAACTATTTGCATTTTATTCTTTGACAATACTAACATAGTTATTTCACTAGAACTGTACCAGTTTAGATAGTAGTGACTTTAGTCCTATCACCCATACTCCTTCACTCATGGAATGTAAAATAGAATAAATAAATGGCAAATATTGGATGAGTCAGTGGACATCATAATATTTCTCCAAATTACATATATTCATCTACCATATCACATGTGCATTTCTGGTTGTATTTGTTAGAACACTTTAAATTGGAAGTGATAAATACCAATTTGTAGTAGCTTTACCAAAAAATAACTTATTTGGCTCAACATGACTGAACAGTCCTGGCTTCTGACATAGTGCTAAAATGATATCATCAGGGGTTGGTCTTTCCATCTCTTGGGTTCTCCCCCCCTTCAGGGTTGAAGATGACTATCAAAAACTCCAGGTTATCTAGCACAGTAGAAGGACAGTGCCTGTTTTCCAATAATTCCAGCAAAAATCCAGGATTAAGTCTCATTGGCCTGGCTTGGATAATGTGTTTATTTCTCAATTAGTTATTGTGGTCAGGGTGGTTAATTCCTGCTTTAGATTCAAGCAAGGGCCAATTTACAATTCGGAGATTTGATTTTCCTTGCAGTTGCCAGGGCGTTGATAAGAGCTAGGGGACAGGAAAAAGAGTGGGAAGTGGGTTTATTTCTAGTTTACCATTATACTGAACTTAACCCCTGAGAGTCCTACCTTTATGAAAGAAGGAACTTATGTTAGATTCCCTCCCTTGAGCAGAATTTGACCTTTATTTCCTATTCCAGGAACTGAGTGAAATAAAATAGCTTGAGCTTAATTAGTTTGCCAGCACCTTCCATGGACGGAAAAGTCTGCATTGTTATTCTAACTTTAAGTTTAGGAGAGTAGGTTAGAAGATCTATCCTTGTGTTAATACATGAGATCAAAGCTGAAAAGCATTTTGAAATACTGACACATTTTACTCTACAGAAGGCTGCTATCCTAAAGAAAGACCTAGATATATTTAGAAATTAAAAATACTAGCGCATGTAAAAATTGTAGGCCATTAGTTGTAGGATGTTAAAGAACCATGTTAATACTCTGAACCTCAATAAAACTTTCATCAGCAAATAAGTGAACCTGGAAATGCTATGTAACTCCTTCCTTACGCTTTAGAAGTTGAATTAGGTGTTTAATAGACATTAAAGTTGGATATTATAAATCACTCGTGTGTGTGTGTATAGTAATTTATTAAAGTTTATAAGTAATTGTATACTTTTATAACATTTACAATTTCAAAAGCTAGAAAATAGATTCAGTATTATATTTAAAAATGTAAAAATTTAAACCCATCTGGATAGAGAGGATTGAAATAAAGCATCTTTCACTTGCCAGTGAGACAACTTTGTTCTTTGTATCTGGAGCATAAGCTTCAAGAGGGCAGGGATGGTGTTTTGTACAACTATGTATATTGTGTAACTTAGCACAGTGTGTTACTGTTCACTTAATACATTTTGTTGTAGCTTTATATTAAAACTGTTTCCAACCAGTGCATGTATATTAATTTTAACATGTTTAATGATTCAGAGTGTTAGTATTTGGCACTTCCTTTTTTGTTTTTTTAAAGATGTTTATTTTTGAGTACACACTCGAGTGGGGAAGGAGCAGAGAGAAGGGGATAGAGGATCCAAAAGCGGGCTCTGCACTGATAGCAGTTAGCCCAATGTGGGGCCCTAACTCATGAACCACAAGATCATGAACTGAGCCGAAGTCACCAACTAAGCCACCCAGGCGCTCCTATATTTGGCATTTTCTAAGTAGGCTTGATTTATAAATAAACTGAATCCATAGGGAGCAAAATGATTATCTGGAGGAAATTTTTAAATTTATGGAAATCTTAACTTTTCCATTAGATTTGGACATGGATATGAAAATAGCTCAGAAATGAAGTTTAGTTTATCACAGTCACCATCTACTAAAGACCTTCATGAGTATGAGACTAGTTTTACTCATGATGAATCCAGCATGTGATATTCAAAATTTTCAAAGGACTTTAATAAAATATGCTAATAGACTGTATTAGGAGTATGCAGCTAAAAAAAAAAACAAAAAACGACTGTTTTGAAATGCTTTGTGAACACCAACAATCTAGAGGTGGCAACAGCTCTGCAGATTGCTAAGTTATATTTGAAGATAATCTGTTGATGGTACAGTGGAGAATTGAGTCACATGGTAGAGTTGGTAATTTACTAAATTACTAGCAGTATTTACTAAGACAATTAGCATACACTTATTTAATTTCCTCCTTAAAAATTTGCAAAGCAACCCTGAAATTAGATGGCATTTTTCTAATTTTGCTTAGTCATAATCCATGAAAAGGGGTATTTTGTGAAGCTCTTGGATATACTAAGTCATGTATCTGGGAAGAAGCCACATCATCTTATTTCAAGTGACCTTTTGATTTATAATAGGATATCCTTCTAATAGCATTTGAAAAACCAAGGATTAGTATGGTCTTTTATGTAACTTTGGAGAATGCTAAGTGCTAGATGAAAGAACATAAATTGTGTGTGTCTCTTTGTGAGCCAACTTATGGACTAAGTGAGCTGAGTGCTATTTGGCATGGGAAGAAAGATTATACTCTCTACACATTGTAATCTGTACATGCAGAAGCAGGTTCATTTAAAAAAAAAAAAGAAAGAAAAAAGGTTTTAAAAATAATTTCTAACTTATTTTCCCATTTGTGTCCCACTGAATCATTTGACCTTTTTTCATCTCTGTTTTTTCAAAGATTTGTCCCATCAGATGAAAAGAAGAAACAAGGCTGCCAACGAGAAAATGAAACTTTAATACAGAGAAGAAAAGATCAGATGCAACCAGGGGGCACTGCAATTAGTGTCACAGTTCCTTATAGAGTAGTAGACCAGCCGCTTAAACTTATGCCTCAAGACTGGTAAGATTATTTTTATTTTATGTAGTCATTAATTTTTTTGTATAATTAAAAAGTATCAAGTTTTGTCATGAGTTCTAGATAGAAACTATCCCTGAAGACATTGTTAGTGTCTAACTTGGTCATTAATAATGTCCATGTTTTAGTAATACCTAAATAAATTTGTATTCTGGATAGCTAAACATTATTTTACTTCTAAGAAACACTGACTTCTGGAAAATTTAGTAAAAATTCTTAACACTGTTTATTTGTTCTGGATCAGCTTTTAGAACAAAACTTCCAAATAGACTAATGTTTTGAGAACCTATTGTTTTAGTTTTTTGTTTTGGAGAATTCACATTTTGGAGTAAGAAACAATAAGTGAAGAAGTTGTTACTTTTATTATGAAGACTAATTTATTAATAAAAACAACATGATCACCCTACCCTGGTTTAGCTCTTTAATTGCATTAAAATGTTCTTTAAGGGGCGCCTGGGTGGCTCAGTCGGTTAAGCATCCGACTTCGGCTCAGGTCATGATCTCGCGGTCCGTGAGTTCAAGCCCCGCATCAGGCTCTGTGCTGACAGCTCAGAGCCTGGAGCCTGTTTCAAATTCTGTGTCTCCCTCTCTCTCTGACCCTCCCCCATTCATGCTGTCTCTCCCTGTCTCAAAAATAAATAAACGTTAAAAAATAAAAAAATAAAAAAAAAATTAAAAAAATTTAAAAAAATAAAAATAAAAAAATAAAATGTTCTTTAATAAAATATTAAGGTATTTTTAACAGTGTCTATTAGCTCAGATACATGAATTATCTTACATTTTATTAATATAAGGTAGAGTAAAAACAGTCTTGAGAGTGCATCTCTGTGTGACGTAAGAGAATGCAACACATTGATGCATTAACTGAAATTTACCTTTGAGGTGCTTACCAGTCTTCACACATTAGGAAGTCAGGGCATTGAGAATATAAGTATGTTAAAAATGTATTATATGAAGTAAAATGAGAATGTCAGTTATCAAGTTTAAAACTTGTAAGAAAGTTATTCCATGTTAGTATTACATGTTTGCAGTCATTTGCAGAAAATGATAATACAGTGTGTACAAGTGCCATCTCACCATGCTACAGAATAATGCTTGTATATATTAGCTAGGTCCCTAGTCATTGGTATCTTAACTTAGGTATATTTGCCTTATCTTTCTTCTTTCCTTCTCTGTTAATCCTTTCAAGAATTCACCAAGAGTAGTATTTATATTATCCTGCTTACATGCTAACCCTGTGAAGCCCAGTAGGATCTAGGTGATGTCTCTCCAGCAAATTTCCTTTAGTTTGGGAGGTACCTTCTGCTTTCAACTATTGTATGGCTAAAGCTAGGTCATGAAATTAAGAGGTCATTTAATAGTGAGCTCTGTTACCAAAGATCATTTGGCAGTATGGGACATGTATTCCATGAAAGGAGATTTTTAATTTAAGATTTCATTTTAGCCTTAGAGATTTTGAGCAGGTTAGAATTTTAAGCTGTGGTTTTTCACAGTAACTTGAATTGTTGCTGTAGATCTTTTATCTGAATAGAAGGTAGCCCTGGTTTAATTCTTTGTTGGATGTGTAGAGTCTTCATCTAATGCAATGGTTATTTAAAATGTGATCTTGGACCTCTGGGCATTCCTAAGACCATTTCAGGGAGTTGTAAGGTTAAAATGATTTCCATAATACTACTAAAATGGCTGTTCTCATGATTTATCAGTCCTCACCCAGGAACAGTAGCATAACCGGGGCACGGGATCAGCCATTCCCTCCCTTTCTTCTTCTCACTCCTCCTCTTCTTCCTTTCATTTCTCTTCTGCAAATGGACTGTCCATGCCCTTCTGTTTCCTCATCTGTAAAATAGGGTAATAATAGCACTCACCTCATTGGATTTTTTGGAAGATTCAGTGTATTAACATAGGTACTGTGTAAGGTGCTTAGAACAGCACTGGCACATAGTGAATGTTCATAATAAGTCTTATTAATGTTAACTGTTACTGTTTATTAGGGTTTTGTTTCCACCTCTTTAGTTCTAGCATAAGCTGTTTATGACTGTTACACTTATTATAATTTCTCAATTTAATTAAATATTTTGTGAACTAATGAAATACGAGGGCCTAGAAAAAGATTTGTTCTTTTCAGAAAAATAAAGTCTAACAGTTAGAAAAACAAGGTTTTAGAAAAACTTGCGTTTTTAGAAAAATGCTTATAGACTGGGCGCCTGGGTGGCTCAGTCGGTTGAGCATCCGACTACGGCTCAGGTCATGATCTCACGGTTTGTGAGTTTGAGCCCCGTGTCAGGCTCTGTGCTGACAGCTCAGAGCCTGGATCCTGCTTCGGATTCTGTGTCTCCCTTTCTCTCTGCTCCTCCCCTGCTCACACTCTGTCTCTTTCTCCTACAAAAATAAAAAAAATAAAAAAATTAAAAAAAAATTAGGGTGAGTGAAACAGTTGTAAAACAATTGGAAAAATTTTTAAGAAGTCTGATGGTTTCTATACTCAAATTACTTTCCAAATACTCAGAAGAACTCAAAAAATAAGGCCTTGGGGCTTCATAAAATGATTGGTGAGTTATTTATAATGTTTTTAGTTAATGTAAAATATTTAAGATCTACTTGAATTAAATGATTTCCTTTTAAAACCAACTTTTTCAGGGGCGCCTGGGTGGCGCAGTCGGTTAAGCGTCCGACTTCAGCCAGGTCACGATCTCGCGGTCCGTGAGTTCGAGCCCCGCGTCAGGCTCTGGGCTGATGGCTCAGAGCCTGGAGCCTGTTTCCGATTCTGTGTCTCCCTCTCTCTCTGCCCCTCCCCCGTTCATGCTCTGTCTCTCTCTGTCCCAAAAATAAATAAACGTTGAAAAAAAAATAAAACCAACTTTTTCAATTAATACATCCACCAGTGTTCCCTATTGCATTGAAAGAGTGGGCCTGTTAGTCTAGGAGAAGGGCAAATTAAAAGGTTAAAAAGATTGCATATAAGGATTGTGTATGTAATTATGTTTAAAAGACCCAGGTGCAGTGCATGAGACGTATAGCAATCATTAATGTATTTTAATGGTAACGTAATGAAGAGTTGTGGTAATGGACTTTGTTTGCCTCACAGATGTGTTGACAGGAGACTATATCACATGAATCATTGAGTCCTTTTCTTAAGGATTTACAGTAACCAAAGTTCATCTATGAGATACTGTCTCTCTATTCTAATCCTCCCCCGTTTCTATTTATAGGGATCGGGTTGTAGCAGTTTTTGTGCAGGGTCCTGCATGGCAGTTCAAAGGCTGGCCATGGCTTTTGCCTGATGGATCACCAGTTGACATATTTGCTAAAAGTAAGATTCTCTTTATTTTTACTTTTACTTTAAATATTCCTACATTTACCAATATAGAAATGCTCTTGCTTTATGGAAGAGAAAGCCATCTATGGCTGTGCATATACGATGTGTGTATCAAAGGATTCCTATTAATATATTTTAATTTTTAAGCACCTGTGAACTACTTTTTTTTTTTTTTTGGACATTATTATTTTTTGTGTACTCATATCTAAAAGTGAATTATCCCCTGAGTTAAATAGAATTACTTTAGGCCTTAAACTTCAAAAGCATTAATATTTTTGCACGTCCATATATTTTTATTAAAACTGATGACTAGTTTTAAAATGGGTTGACTTTTGCTAACAGTAGTGTATAGCTGTAATTTGAAGTGCCATATGATTTTTACCAGCTGTTTCCACTGTCTTGAATGATTGTAGCATGATTGACTTATTCTTTTCATTCAACTCTAAATTCAAATATTCTCTCCTTTAGAGAATCCTTCTCTGGCCATCCTGGAAAGCCATTACCTCCTCCCAGTTACTCATTAAGCCCTTTTATTTTCATGATAGTACTTGCTGCTGTTTGGTATTATCTTGTTTTTATATCTTTATTTTCAGTCTTCCTGGTTATAATGGCAAGTTGCTTAATGGGAGGAGCCTTTTCTGCCTTGTTTGCTCTTGTATTGTCAGCACAGAAGAGGGCGTGGCATAAAAGAAGCATTCAATAGATACCTGTTAAATTAATGGATTTCATGTGGCTTCTATCTTTTGGTATATTAATATATCAGTATATACCAAATGTAGATTAATCTGGTCTATTTTTTTTGCTGGTAGAGATACTCCAATTATTATTTAATTCAAGTACCCAATTAAGTTAGTAACCACAGTAAAATTGTTTTTAAAAAATCATTCTAATGAAACAAGTATGTTTATTAGAAGTAACAGCTTCAGTTATTATGAACGTAGAGTGTGCTACTGTAAAATCCAGCCTCTTTTAAAGCAGCCTCAGTTTTTGTTAGTGGTATCACCATTCTTCCAAGATAGAAACTACCCAAGCTTGAAAGCTTTACTCATTTATTCTGTTCTGCCTTCATTCATTTTAATTAATTATTCTAATATTACTAATATTATGATAGCTTTTTATGTTATTTTTGAAGCTACAGAGTTGATAAATAGAAAGTTAAAGATAGAGAATGGGGATTTTAATGAAAGTAAAGTATCCATGAACACGAATATTTTACCTACTTGCTTGCCTGTTGAATAGTGTTTCAATAAAAAGAATGATTATGCCTTTGTAAATGCTGTCTAAATTTCATTTAGAATATAATGATGTTGTAGTAGTTTCGTTCATATTGGTAGTCTTCTGAAATTTAGATAACTTGAGTCTTTTTTTTTTTTAACAAAGTTACGATTTTCTTCCATGAATTATTCTCTTTTTAATCTTCCTTCTTTACTGAATCCTTTCTGTCAGTATTTACAGTGAAAGTAAATCCGACTCTTGATTTTGGGTCAGGTCATGATCCCAGGGTTGTGGAATCAAGCCCTATGTTAGGCTCCACACTGCACGTGGAACCTGCTTGGAATATATTCTCTTTCTCCCCCACCCCCACCCGTGTGAGTGTGTGTGCGCGTGCTCGCTCTCTCTCTCTCTCTCTCTCTCAAATAAAAAGAAAATGAAAGTACTCTTGCCTCTTCCCTCTTAAAATAAAACCCTTTCTCCTGATAAAATAAAACCCTTTCTCCTGACTTCAAAGCTCCTTTTCTTTTTCCTTTTATGAAATTTTGAAAGAAATGTCTCTACTAACTCATTTTCTATTCAGTTCTCAGTCCTCTGTTCAGCTTTCTTGTTCTCCACTAAACTGTTCTCACCAAACTTACCAGTGACCCAGATATTAGATTCCTTTGACCTCCTTATCAGACTTAAAACCTTCTTTTCCAAGGCTTATTACTCTTTTTTTCAGACTCTAGCTACTTTCCCTCTGGCTTTCAACTACCTGTTAATATTTTGTTTCTCTTTTCCTTTAAGTATAGATACTCTCTCAAGGAGATCTGATAGCTTTCAATTATCATCTATATCCCTCCCCTTATTCTAAGGTTTCTAGCTTATATTCTGGGCCTGTATATCTCAGTAATTACCAGATAACTCCTCTGTGAGGTCCTGTTGGTATGTCAGACTCCGCTTGTTCATATGGAATCGTCTTGTTCTCTCCCTCATTCCCAAACTGTTTCTTTTCCTCATTTAGTTTTCTTTAGTAATTTGCCTAAGCTAGAAACTTAGGAGTATTATTATCTCTTAGCTTTTAGTTGATCTCCTTGTTTTTATTCTTGCCTTTTCTAGGTTTTCACCCTTTGCCCCATAACACACTTAGAAAATGGTAACATCTATATAGCATAGCGGAAAACTGAGGGTTTTAACAGGAGCATCTATATGGGCCATGGTAAAAGCTTGTACTATTTTTCTTCATATTGCATAATAGTAAAATCCAAAATTTTTCAGAAGATATTAAGTATTGTATAAAATGGGCAAATAAAATCTTTTAAACGTTACAAGAAGTTTGAGCTTACAACTGCATATAGCTTTTTAAAAATATTTTTATGTTTGAGGTAGCTACATGTATTTGTTGATCAAGATTTTTAAATGATGATTTCTTCAAATTTTTGCTGGTTATCATTGAGAAGAAGTTTTCATTAATCTTCTAGATTATGTTGCCCCTTTGTCATCTGATGTGCCATCTTTGTACCTACTAAATATTATTCAAGAGCATTTTGTCTATTTCTTTTGTTTCTTTGTTCCTGTAAAGTAATGTTGACAAGATTCATGCAGTTTGTAAAAAATGAACAATTCTGAATTGTGTGAAATACTTTGCTTCAGTACTCATTGTGCTACCAGTTAGAAGACTGGCTTTCTTATAAAAGAACTTCATTTGTTCTATTTTTTGCTGAGATTTGTAAACTAAAAGCCTTTTTCTGAATCAGAAAGATGTTTTGTATAATGTCTTGGTGTAAGTTTGCTTGCCTTCACAGCTTCATGCCAATAAAATTTTTGTATAATGAGAGAAGCCTTATGCTTTCTTATTTGTGACTTAGACTTTTTAGACTCTAATGTTTCACCATTAATTTTAAAAGTTATCTATTCTGGTGGAATAAATACTGTATAAACTAAATCTATTGAAAGTAGGGAGTGGAGTACTGTATGCTTTTATAGATTTAGATAAATCATTTTTAAAAATATATTTTTAAGAATGATTTAAGGTAGGGGCGCTTGGGTGGCTTGGTCAGTTAACTGTCCAACTCTTCATCTCTAGCTCAGGTCATGATCTCACAGTTCGTGAGATCGAGCCCTGCATCAGGTTCTGTGCCTCCCTTCTCTCTCCTTCTCTCTCTCTCTCAAAAAAAAAAAAAAAAAAAAAAAAAAAAAAAAAAGAGAGAGAGAGAGAATGATTTAAAACAAATCATACTGAGAAAATTAGAAAAGGGAAACATGTAGTAAGGAAAATAGGAAGTATTGAAACTGTTGACTTCATTTAATTTAAAAATTTTCTAAATTAAAAAATTTTTACACATATAAATATTTTGAAAATGGGTTTTTTGAAGCTATAATGTGTAGCCCCTTTAATGAATCAGTTTAATTCATTAAATTGAATTAAACTCAAAATGAATGATGTGTTTGGTGAGGGAACCTTTAATTGGAAAAGCAAATAGTTTAGAAGTAATGTTTAAGTGTTTCTGTTTGTGAGCACAAATGATTCATTTTGGATTTGCATCAAGAATTACACTTCGATTCATTGTTAACATCCAAAGCCAGTAGGCTAGCAAGCAATGTGGAATAAACAGTCCATAACGTAGCTATCAAAAAAATGAATGAAGTCAATCATTTTTCTCTTTAGAGACCCCTAATACTAGATGATGATGATGGTAACAATCATATCTTATATACAAAAAAAAAAAAAAATTAATGGAAAGAAAAGCTAACTCTTACGTGTGTACCTGTAAAACAGAAGCTTCACTGATGGTAAACTGATTGCAGATACAAAAGTAAGATTCAACCGGATGATCAGGGAGAGAGATTCAAAGTCAGTATTTTATGGTCCATTTGTTAACCTTTTGTAGGATACACCAGCTGGGAGGATTTGCCCGCTAGAGTCTTTTATTCACCCGACACTAGAATTAACTGTTAACAACGAAAATCAGATAATTTCATCTTCTTGCTTTAATCACTTTCTAGTGGTTTACTATCACATTTGGAACAAATTCAGATTTTTTTTTACCATAGCCAAATTTTACAGTATAGGACATTGTCTACAGAAGAAGTTATTCTTGTTTATAGGGTGTGTGCCAAGCTTGCTTTCATTTCAGAGCCCTTTACCACTGTTCTTATGCCTGAAATCCTCTTCTTGATCTTTGCTAGACTTGCTTTTTATATCACTTAATTATCTCCTTCTAGGTAACTTTCCAAATTTTTCTTTTTCCCTTTTCATCATTTCTTACCAAGTCCCATTCGTTCTCACTCCCTAATTATTTCTTGAATCTTTCTCTTGCCAGGCACGTACCTTCTCCCTAGTTGAGCAAATCTCTTTCTTCTCTAGTTGAGCAAATCTCTTTCTTCTCTAGATTGTTAAATTGTATCAATAGTCGCTGCTAAACACTTTGCAGTGATTCTCCATATCTCTTAGATGAAAATCCAAACTCTTTAATATGGCCTACAAGGCCAGCATTGTTCTGAATCTGGGGTCTTACCTTTTGCTCATTCTTTACATTACTTTGTATGATGCAGTTCCATTAAATTTCTTTAGTTCCTAGATGAAACTGTTTTCTCTTTGAGCATGTTCATGCTAAACAAAAGTCATTTTCTGTGTTTGCTTAATTCTTACTCAGCCTTTAGGTCTTACGTTAGATATCATTACCTACGCAAGACTTTCTGAACTCCATGGTCTGGGTAAGATACTCTTTTATGTTTCTGTGGTACACTCCTAACTTTATCATACTGTATTTGAATAGTTTTTTTCTTATTATTATCCTTCACAAGACCGTATGCATTTTATTAGCCTCATAATATGCATTATTCCTCATTTCAGTCCCAGTGACCCAGTCCTTGGTAGGTATTTGTTGAATGTTTTTGAGGATACCACAGTACTTAGTAGAATCTATTTCAAAAGTCTCTTTGGTTATAATGTAGCTTCATCTGGTTGAAGAAAGATTGTTTTTTTTTTTAAGTTTTTGTTTTCTTTTGAAAAAAGTTTTTTTTTTTCTTAATGTCTATATTGGGGTGTTTTTATTCTTTTATAAAATATTTTTATAATTTTGATCGCAGTTTGAATTAAAAATATTATTTCCCCCCATACAGTTAAAGCCTTCCATCTCAAATATGATGAAGTTCGTCTAGATCCAAACGTTCAGAAATGGGATGTAACAGTATTAGAACTCAGCTATCACAAACGTCATTTGGATAGACCAGTTTTCTTACGGTTCTGGGAAACATTGGATAGGTAATTCTGATCCTAAAATTCATTTACTTCTGCTTTATTATAGTAATTTTCCTTTCTCCTCAGTTAGATTTTAAGCTCTTTAAAATTGTATACATATCCCCCAGTTTCCTTTTTTGAACATTGTATGATGCTGGTCTCTAGTAGATATTAATAAATATCTTTGTTGTACTGATTTTAGAAATAGATGGAGAAAGGGCTTATAAGCTTGTTAGAAAGAACAGTAAACTCTGAGTCAGAAGACCTAGATTTTAGTCCTGATTTTATGATCTGTCTGTAATGAACTGTGTGACCTTTTTGAACCTTGTGTTCTATCTATCCCAGGGGCTTGGATTTATATGATTCCCTGCAGGGTTTTTTGTTGTTTGTTTGTTTGTTTGTTTTGTTTTTTTGCCAGCATCAAAAGGTCTCTGACTGGATTTGAGTTAAGGGTAGCCTGTGAAAGGAATTCAGGTTTTGAATTTATTTTAATTACTGTTATAAACAGAATTCTTAAAGTCCTTTTACAGTAACATCAGTTTTGTAATTGGAAAATTTAAGAACAGCCTTATGATCACAGTACCACTGAATTTATTCTCGTGGTGCTCTTTAAAATCTGTCACTTTCTTGGTGTAAGTCTCTTGCTGAATATTAAGGGTTTTCTAAAGTCAGAGGTTACTGAGGTAACCCAGTGATTATAATTGATAATATATTAAAAAAAAACATTTATTATTCTAGCCAGAAGCTCTGATTATAGAATTTAATAAGAGGAGTGTTTCTTCTGGCTTCAGAAGTTCTTATTCTGTATTCCCAAAGTATAGTATCAGGCTTCCAGTTTTTTAGAAAACAAAGCATCCTGTTCACTTTTGAATTTTAAGTTTAAAAAAAAAAGTCAACTTATTTTTACATTTCTGAAAATTCTAAAATTCCTATAATCATTATAACCTATTATAATATTATTTTCCAGGTACATGGTAAAGCATAAATCCCATTTGAGATTCTGAATTTTACTTGGTTTCCCTTTTTCTGGAGATCTGGATTAAGAAGCATGGATATACCTTGACCTAAAGACTGAGACTCAAGCTTTATGAATTTATCAAGAACTTACAAATGAAGAAGGTCACAGATCCATCTTTTATATGACCTTATTTGATGCTTTATGCTTCAAAGGGATGATGCTTGTCATCCATATAAGCAAACTTTTTGGCTTACAACTATTTTTTTAATATTAGCCTTCTAGTCTGTAACGGAAATTGTATATTTTGATAGAAGTTTTTTCTCCATTGGTTAAATTAGCATTACTTAAAATTTGTTTCTTTAGAAAATAAATGCAGGTTATAAATGTGTGTATATTTAGAGGTTATAAGGCTCTCTAAGCCATCTTCTGATTTTTCATTGCTCTATAATTCCTTTTATTGAAAATAGTATGCTATGAATGGTATCAAATTTTAGTCTCTGGAACTTCCAAAACTAGCAAAGGGATGTGACTATTTTGAATGAATCAGAATGTCAACCTGTATGTATACTATACCTATACTTATTCTTTATTTAAAAAAGAATAATGAAAAATCAAGAACAATTCTTCAGCTTTGGTTGAACTGTTCGGCCTTTTCAAGACTTCTTTACTCTCAATGAATACATTGAATGAATGTACATTCTTCTTTCTCACTGACTTTGGTGATTTTAAAACTTAGAATGATATATTTCTATCTGTGCTATCTTTCCACTTGAAAAATCTCAGAAGACAGATTAAAAACATGATAGGCTGTAGTACTTTTTGTTTTGGGAGCCAGAGTATGTTTGGGGGAAAGAAATGTATTAGTCCTACTACAATGTAACTTTAACTTTCTTATCTTTTTCATAAGTTCACCTTTGAATCTTACTTTGTATGTATGGTATAGGTTTTGAGTCTTCTGTTTCTAGGCATGTTGATCTTGGAGTTCTTATCTTCCATTATCCCTAAATATTGATAACTCTCCCAGACACCAAAGAACACATTTGCTTAATTAAGTGTCTGAACAGAAACAAGATAAAAACACTGGTATTTTTATGTGCGTATTCAATATCGTATAAAATATAAAACCTATATTTTAACTTAGTAAAATATTTTACTACTTCTCTAGAGTGTTGCATCCAAGGTACAATGAATGAGCATTTTCCTTGAGTCTTGATTTCACCTTTTATTACTTAAAAGCAACTGGAGCCTCTACTCCCCTAAAGAGTTTTCGCCATTAGGATTGTTGCTGATTGTTCATCTTGTGTCATTTTTTTTCTCCATTTTTTTCCCCAGTGATCTCTCTTAGATGAACATTTTTTTAGTAAACATTTAGCTCCTTCTTATGTTATGCTGACATTACCTAGCTTCATTTTGAAATTTAATGCTATCATAAGAATGAGAAGCACTTATTTATTTTTAAAGTAATCACAAAAGTCCATACCAATAGTGGATAGAAAAAAGTATTTATTCATGTGGAATTCACTATGTTCTTAAGAAAAGCAGTCAGCATTTTAAATTATTAGATTATAGGATATTTATAAGGTTTGAACAGATTCTACCCCCTTCCTTTCTGTGCACCTCTCTTCTTGAAAACAAAAGAACTCAAATTTGTTCACTTTAGACTTTCTCATCATATAAACTGTTTTCAAAATGAATTAATGTATTGTATAAACTTTCTCCATGATGAAATCGTCAAAGACTAGAATCTGTACTATTTTAATGTAAGATTACTTGTTAAGACTACTACAAGTGGACGAGAACTACCTTTCTATAAAAATTTTTAGTATTTATACTTATGTCATATATGAAATTTACTTGATACAGAGTGTGGTTAAAATTGGGAACATCTACTTTAAACAGGGTTTATTTTTCTATCTTGAATTTGCCTTATGTATATTCAAAGGCTTCTGGAAATACTGTAAAGGAACATTAGGAAAAGTACAAATATGCTATGCTGTATGTATTTTAAAATCAAACCCTTAGTATGTACTTAATTTTCTTTTTCTTTTTTCAGCAGTTCAGTCCCTCATTTAGGTCCATGTAATTAATGTAATAGTCATTAATTCCAAAACAATTTTTTTTCAGCCAGTCATTATTCGTTATCTCATGACTCCCAAGTCCTACAGCAGCACCTATCACTGTGCCTTGCACATAATAGGCATTCAGTAAATATTTATATGCATGAATTAATGAACTTTTCAGTGTGACTGATTTATTACAAAAAGTACTTTGACTAGGTCTTGGAGTTTGAAAATACAGAAATACAGGGAATGAAGAGGTACACATAGATGTTTAATGGAAATGAGGTATACATTAATGACCTTGACTTACCATAAGTTACTGTTAACTGGAGACACCCTTGCTTGTCCCATTGGTAAAAGAAAACTTCCATTTCTTTATTCATAGGACACTTTTCTGAGTCAGGTAACATTAAGAAACTTGTAGGTTTCAGTCAGTTAATTGTTCAACCTTGACTGCACATTAGAATCACTTGGGGGACCTTTTAAATATTTATTGCCTGATTCCTGATTCTGATTTAATTTGTGCTGAGACCTGATCATCAGTATCTTTAAAAAGTTGTTTAGGTAATTTCATGTTCAGAAAGGATTGAGAATCACTGATTTAATTTGTTGTTGAAAACAATGCCAGTATTAAATGTCGTATTTCCTCATCTCCCGCCTTCCCTCCCTCCCTCCCTTCCATCCTTCCTTCTCTCCGTTCTGCCCTCCCTCCTTCTCTCCCTTCTTTCCTTCTCCCTGCTTTCCTTCTTTCGTTCTTTCTTTCCTGCTTTTACTTTTCCTCTTGGTGGCCACCCTTTGCACTAGACTGACCCCCTTATTGATGGTATTGGCCTGTAGTTCCACATAACAAATTCAAGTCTTATTTATTTAATATAGGAGTATTTTGCTGTTTAATATTTAAACAATGTTTAATATATTGCATTATAAACTAGTATTATAGTTTATGATTTGTTTCCCATGTGTCCTTATCCTTATTTTTTTTTTTAACAGCAGCATGATAACAATCCATACAGAAATAACTAGTTCATAATGAGGAAAATTTCATAATAATTTTTAAGGTAGAAGAAAGTAAAGGATTAATTTCTTATCTGCCATGCAGAATTAGTTTGCTTATGAAAGGAAAGAGGCATACTTTTTAATTGGTCTGCACAGAAAAGTAAATTATTCATTTAAATAAAATTCATTATCAAACATTGAAGGAAACATTTTTCCAAAATAAAAATTTTTGTGACTCCTAACAAAGTTAAAGTGATACATTGTTCTTTTTTGGAGGGTGGGGAGGGAGTATTTAGTTTCCATATTTCTTACTATATAACAATTCCATTTTATTGGTATTAACAGTAGAAAATGATGATAGGATACACATTATGTGGCCAGAAATAAAATGCCACTTTGTCAGATAACAATTATCTGAGTCTTAGTTGTTGAACTAATTAGTTTATAAAACTTTTTGAGACCAACAGTGTATTTTATAAATATTATAAAAGCTGACCAAAATTAAAACATGAAAAATAAATTTGATTACATGAGCCTTAAATATTACTTGACTGAATTTTTATTCACTTGGATTTGATAGTCAACTGGTTACCCTAACCATAGTAAATTAACTTTAGAAATAAAAAAGTAAAAATCACTGAATTTGACTTAAGAACTGGATTAGGAATTTTGAAATGTCATGTCCTGTATGTTCTGGCCTATCCATTGCCACATTTGGCTGTATAGTGATGCCAGCATGGTTTCTATCTGTATATGTTGGAATGATAACCAAGGAAAAATTGGAAATGTATAATAGGTGTATAAAAATTATATTTAGTAAATGCATAATATGCAATAATACTTTCAGGTCATTCATCTTTTGGGGCTTATATGTATTATTTTAGGTAGTGTTTATTAGAGTGATCTTGAGAGTTATATATAAATGTATGCCATTTAAATGAGTAAAGCTAAGGAGATTAATTTTATTGCCAAAATTCAAAAAGTGAAGTGATGCTATGTCAAATTTAGGTGGGTGATGTATCTCTCTGAGAGTTTTGTTTGCTACTGAATTCCATTTCTATCCAGTTTAAGTTTGCTAAAAGCTACTTAACCTCCAAGTTTGGTTATATAGTGCTTTATATATAATGTAGTTCATTTACATGATATAGGCACTATAAATTTTACCCCCCACTTTGTATATTTCTCATGCAAAGTGGGTTCTTCAGTGGAACTTAAATTTCGGCCCTGTGACCTGATTAAATGTTCTACTCATTCTTACTCCATTTCAGTGGATTTTTAAGTTTCAACTTGTAAATAAGTTTTGGGTATATTCCCACCCCCACTTCTGCCCTAGTCTTCATCCTTCCAACCAAAAACACATTCAACCAAGAATACAGAAACTGTATTGTGTTGTAGGATATGGACGATGACAGTCTTTTCAAAAAGGGATTTAGGAGATTTTTCAGGCATTGTATTTGTTTTGAAAATAAACGTAATGGAAGTTTTCACTTTGAAAACTAAAGAGTTAAGTACATTTACAGTCTTCTGTTAATGTGTTAAATAATGGAGAGAATCACAATTCTTCCTAAAAGTAACAAGCTACATGCTCTAATGAGCTTAGTTTGGTTATGGTCCAACTTACCAAGTCCTTATTGTTAGAATGTTATTTACCAGCATACACTCTTAATTCTATTATCTTTCAGCAGTTTGGGCACCCTGATTTTAACATTTTGTAGTTTGAAAACAAACTGCACTCCGCATATAATCAAATCATTAACAACATCATGGTATTATTGGTGGTGCCAGTAATAATGTTTAACTCTTTTGCAACAAAATTCCTTTAATGAAGTGTTTAATGGGCCCTATTCAAACTTAATTTCCATTCAGTTCATAAGTGCCTACTAAATATGTATTTTATCCTGCTCTTCTGTTCATTTGATCATCTGCTTTTAGGCAGATGAGCATTCACATAACTAAAATAGATACAGCAGGAGTTGTAAATGCTGTTGGA